GTTCGATTGAAGGCTCTCCACGTGTTAAACGCCATACCTGCTGCGGAAACATTAATGAATATGCTTAAACCTTTCGTGAGGACGGACTTATTAGGCATTGTAAGTCAGCGTGCGTATTACTCGCACGTTAATATACTTTTATTTACTTATTTTAAACAGATCTGAGTACACCTTCGGCCTTTCTTATTTTTAGATACATTTCCACACGAATATAAAGAGCGCGAAGAAATTTTTCCCCGTCGAGGCTTTGCCGAACGAAATGGGCGGAAAAGCAGGACCTACGAAGGATCTGATTGACGAACACATTAAATTACTGGAGGAATTTCGACCATGGTTTCTACAGGACGAAAGAATAGGGCGGGTGAACGAATCTCTGCGAGTCGGCAAATTCAAAATGGCGGATGATTTGGCCGGCATGGACGGTAGCTTTAAAAAGCTCGAGATAGATTAATCAACGTAAAGCGACGAGGAATAAATCGTACTATAACTACGTTATTTGTCAACTTTTTTGTCAGCTTATTTGCAATTATGCGACAGTCCGTAATTACACGAAGACCAAGATGCTACGTAATTGCAGCTAATCTCTCTCTCGCTCTCTTTTTTCTCCGTTCTAATTACACGAAGACCAAGATGCTACGTAATTGCAGCTAATCTTTCTTTCGCTCTCTTTTTTCTCCGTAATATAAATATTAATTTTACCGAGTACGATAAAATGTGTACGTGCGTGTATGTAAAACTATACTGACATTGATAATAATTTCCAGTTATATGATTAGCTCATGCTTACGGCAATATTATTTCCTGTTATCCGTGCGCAATGCGTGATCATTGGATCTAATTAAGTATTGCTTCGCGGTTGTTTTTGCTGTAAAGATGGGATACTGGGATCTTAGCCTACGCTCTTGGAGGTTACGGTTATATAAGGCCTACCGAAGAGTTGCACTTTTCGCAACGTATAATTTCACGCGCATTACTTCGATTGGTTTATAATATAGATTAGACTCGTATACCTGGAGTAAACAAGCGTAGTTTTTTCGTGATTTTGCACGAGCGCTGTTTTTGCTTCAATCTAATGACTTGTCAATTTTATTTAGCTAAAGGTCATTTAAAAACTTGACTGNCAAATCGTATTGAAACGAAATGTACACTAAGGACTTTGATAAATGAATATGAAGGGATTTAAATGAAGTAAGGAAAATCTCTGAATCACGACTAACAATGGAATAAGTTCATGGCAAAGACTATCTAGAAAGGATAAAGTGTCTAGTAAAAATAAAGTAGAATGTGACTTTAAAAATTTAAACGATGTCTGATCGAATACTATTGTATTAGGTTGGTGCGTATGAAATGTCGGATTCTCTTTACATGCG